AATAACAAATTCACTGATTCAGTGCTGGACCTGTTACTTACAAAATATGTAGTGAGCCCCTCGGTCATATTATATATAAGCTGTGGAGAATGGGGGGGATAACGGTTCTTTGGGTTGAAGTGGATACTTAGGCATTGAAAGAGCTGGCACTAGAGGAAGGGGCTAGAAGGCAGGATGGGGTGAGGGGTGAGGGGTCTAAGGCATGGGGATCCTAGGGCACTAAGTCCCTATTGTGTGTTTGGTGTAGTTCAGTCATTGTGGAAGAGGATGCTATTGTCAGGGATTTCTGAGGGATAGGAAGGATGGGTAATATATAAAGTTGGTATAATAGACTCTTTAGTAGGTGGTGCATTTTGAGGAGGTTAAGGTAGTGGGGGGGGAAGGGAGAGGAGAGTAAGGTGAGGAGGAGGAGAAGACAGAAAGAGAAGAGAAAGAAGAAATTGGGGTAGAGAAAGGAAAGTGGAGTGATAGAGGGCTGAGTGAGTTAGTGTTAGGACTGAATGGAGAAGGGAGTTAGATAACAGAAGAAAAAATAAAAGTTAAAATTAAAAATAAAAAAATAAAATAAATGTAAAGTAAAATGAAGATAAAGAGCATGTATATATTTATATATGAAAAGTCAATTCAATGAATGTTCTGGATTCTTTCCTCTGATTTCAGGTTAAGGTGCTGATGCTTTTATTTTTTTATAGGGATGTTTTCCAAGACTGTCCCTTCTTAAGGTTGGTATGTTGGGTTGTGTGGCAATGAATGTTGCTCTTCCCTATTCGACAGCTTTGGGTAGGTTCAGCTCTGGTTGTTTGAGTTCAGGCTTCCTTAGTGGAGTGGGTCCTCTGAAACAGGCAGATTCTTAGAAGTGGTCCCACGAGAGGTTGGTAAATGAGCAGTCGCCAGCCCCTTCCACTCAAAGGGCAAGCCTGTGAGTTAGAAATGAACTTTTCTCTTGGGGAGACTGTCAGTTTCAGCTTGCTCTTGGTTTCTCCAAGGCAGTGCAGTGCCTGACTTCATCCACAGTGGCTGCTGAGTCGCTCTACCCTTACGTGGTCCTTTTCAGCACTGCGTCCCATCCCCCCCCACCCCCCAGCAGAGAGGAAATACTCCCTCCATGTATTTGGTCACCAGTTTTGTCCAGATGGGGTGCAGTCAGCTCCCCAGCTGTGCTAGAATATGAGGTTCCCTCCCAAACAGTATGTTGCACTCACCTGGCATGTTAGCAGATTCACTTGGTTGAAAGTGGATCAGCTATAGGGCAGCGCAGACAGAGCTTTTGAGTCTGTTTGAGTTTGGTGGGTTCCAGTCTTCCCAGATGCTTGCAGCAGCTCTCTTTCTGCAGTTCTGTGCGTTGTGTTATGTTGACGAGGTTGCTGACACACTAAGGCGGAGAGAGATCTGCATAGGCAGGCAGCAGTCAGAGGTTCTGTGACCGTGCATACTACGGTGGGTGCAGGTATTCCCATATGCTTGCATGTCTCTGTGATTTTCTGCATTGTGTTTTAGCTTTACCGACCCAGGCAAGAGGGAATTAAGAGAGAGAAAAAGAAAAGGGAAAAGAAAAAAGCTGCAGATTACTCAGGGGTATCTGACCCTGCTCCCAGCTGTTCCTAGCTGGTGAACCGGGTAGGTGGGCCAGCAGCAGCTTACAGACCCTACCCCGGGCAGTTATGTGCTTTAAAAAGTTAGTTTGGTGGGGGGGGTCAGTCAATGAATATTATATGTCCTCTGTGTGTTGGTGTTAATCTTGGTTGGTAGAAAAAGCAGTATTACCTGATCCTTGCTGCTATGAAAATCTGGAGTAATTGTTTGAAATTGTGCAGGTCAAGGTCCCAGGGTAGGTCAGCTCTCCACCATCTTGATTTCTCTCACATGAAAGTTTTGCTGTGAATATAAGTTTTCATTTCTGTTGAGTAAATACCAGAATACACATTTGCTATGTTTAGTTTTGTAAGGAACCACCAAGCTGTCTTTCTAAGCAGCCATACCATTTTGCATTCTCACTAGCATGAAGCAAGATTTTGGTATTTGGTGTTTTCAGTGTGTGGTGATGTCTCTTTGGTTTTTGTTTTTATTTTGTGGTACTGAAGTTTGAACTCGGTGCCTTGTGTTTACTAAGCAGGTGATCTGCCACTTGAGCCATGCCTTCAGCCCTTTCTGCTTTGGTTATTTTTGAGATAGGGTCTTGCTTTATGGTTGGTACCGCCTGAATCACAATCCTGAATACCTGGGATGACAAGAGTGAGCCACTGTACCCAGCTATTGGTTGGGATGGGGTCTTGTGAACTTTTTGCCAGGGGTTAGCCTTGAGCTGCATCTTCTCAGTCTCCACCTCCCAAGTTAGCTAAGATTACAGGCATGAACCCCTGTGCCTGGCTTGTTTTAATTTACAACTCTGTAGTGCTATATGATAAGAATCTTTTCATATGCTTCTTTGCCAGTTGTGTATTTCCTTTGGTGAGGAGTCTGTTCAGCTCTCTCCTCATTTTTTAATTAGGTTGTCTGTTTTCTTACCATTCAGTTTTAAGAGTTCTTTATAGGTTTTGGATACTAGTCCTTTTTCAGATAAGTGTTTACAAATATTTGCTCCCAGCCTGTGGCTTGCATTTTCATTCTCTTGACATTGTCTTTTGCAAAGCAGAACATTTTAATTGTGGTGGAGTTTGGATCATCATTGCTTTCCTGAATCATGTCTTTGGTGTTTTCTCCAGAAAGTCATTGCCATATCCAACGTCGTTTTGGTTTTCTCTCCTGTGTTGTCTTCCATGAGTTTTGTAGTTTGCAGTTTTCAATTAGGTCTCTGATCCATTTCGAATTAACTTTTGTATAGGTTGGAAAGTCTGTGTCTAGATTTCTTTTTAAAAGACATTTGTATTAGCATATAGTAGTTTTCTGGGGCGGGGGAGGGGGTGAGACATTGTGACATTTTCATGTTCACTTGCAGTGTACCTTGGTTAGGTTTGCCCCACCTTTCTCTTCTTCACCCTGCTCTCCAGTCCTTAAAATGATAATAATAGGTTTCGCTGTAATATTTCATATAAGTATATAAAGTACATTGACCATACTCACCCTCTTTTATCCCCGTATTCGTCCTCCCCCCTCCAACTGTCCAGCAGGACCTGTTTTATAGTCCTTATTCTTCATTTTTTAAGTCCATGTTCATTGCAGGAGATTTCACAATGGTATTTCACCTGTGGATACATTGTACTGTAGGCAGTTAACCCTCTGTATTACTCTCCCTACCATTTCCCCAGCCCTATAGATTTCATTTTTTGTCATGTGCATGTCTAGTTCTGGCACCATTTGTTGAAAAGACTGTTTGCTCCATTGTATTGCTTGTGCTCTTTTGTCAGAGATCATTTGACTATGACTATTTGTGTGAGTCTATTTCTGGACTATGTTCTGTTCCATTAAGCTATTTTCCTATTCTTCTGATTACATTAGCTTTGTTGTAGGTTTTGGAGCTGGATAGTCTTAGTCCTCTGACTTTGTTCTCCTTCGGTGTTATGCTTGCTATTATGGATGTTTTGCTTAGTAATTATCTTTTCTTTTGTATTCTTATCTTGATTATTCATTTAATATTATCAAGCTCTTTTTGTCAGATACTTTGCTGGGTGAAGGGAATATAGTGGTGAAAAATCTTGATGTTTTCCAGACTTTTAAGAGGAACTTACAGTTTAATGGTAAAGACAAGTGATTATATAAGTTATGGAAGTACAGCTGTTATCAGTGTATTTGGCAAGAAGATCTAGTCCACACTGGGGTTTCCAGGGAATTTGGCTGAAGAATTGACATTTAAGCCAAAATGTGAAGGTTGAGAAATGTTCCTGCAAACAGTGATGGCAATAACATTCTTGATACTTGTGATGACATGAACTGAATTCAAGAAGAGGAGGGGCACATGATTGGTTGAACAGATATTTAGAGGTCACATTTTCAAGTATCTTAGAGCAATTGCTTTTCAGTCTTCAGATTATGACTCAGTAGTAGCTGTGAAATTAATCAGTAGTGATCAGCATTTTACAGCCAACAGAATCTAAAGAATAGGAAATATCACTGTGAATTTCACTTAAAAAGATGATGATTTTATGAAACTTTATATATATCAAAAAATATATATTGACTGAAGGTGTGGCTTAACCAGTAGAGCCTCTGCCTAGCAAGTATGAAGCCCCAAGTTCAAACTCCAGTACCACTAACCAAACGAATAAATAAAAATAGCACAAACATATATACACATAGCCACATAAATGTAACAGTGGTACACAAGAACATTTGTTAAATACTACTAGGCTTGACTGACTTTCAGAAAATTTGAGTGGCTTTCTTTTTCCTTCTGGATGCTACTGTCCAAAACTAATTCATTTTCTAAACTTTATTGATGTTTTTATGTTCTAGTAACTAAGTAGCATTGTACTACGCATATGTAATTATGAGCTGCTGCTATGTGTAGCACAACTAAGTAGAATACAGATACGTTTTACTGAGTTCTTTAAGCTGTTTCTCAGTACTATTGGATTTTGGTGTACTTTAGGTAAAAGTCTGTCAGGGAATCACAGTCCTATATTAGATTCTTGTCACAACATTTTCATTTTAGCTTGTCTGTTGCTTAACACCCCTTTCCTAATTTTTCACATAAGTGAGAAAGGAATTATACCATGGAGTCCATGTTAACTCTTGTTATGGTTTACATTTAGGAAGTGATATTTGTAAAATGAAATGTGGATAGAACTCTGTACAGTGTGCTGTGAATTGCATTCCAGGTTAGGTTAGGTTTCTATATTTGGAAGAGGATTGAGGGTGGGGAGAACACTGGTAATTCCCTGTTGATTCTTAAGTTTAGACATAATATCACTCATAAGAAATGATGGTAGATACTACCCCAGGAAGTGTGTGGCTACTCAAGAACTGAACCAGGAAAATTAAATAACTGTAGAAAGGAAAACTGGGTCAAGTTATAAAAATTGCAGTTAACAGCAATGCTTTATTTTGGTGTCTTCTGGCTTTAGGGCGAATGGCACCACCTATAGATGATCTTTCTCCAAAAAAAGTGAAGGTTGTTGTTGGGGTAGCTCGTAAGCACTCAGACAATGAAGCAGAAAGCATAGCAGATGCATTGTCTTCAACTTCAAATATTTTGGCTTCTGAATTCTTTGAAGAGGACAAACAAGAATCTCCAAAGTCAGCATTCTCTCCTGCACCACGGTAGTTTTCTGTTACGATTTCTGTAGTAATCATTATATAGATTTTTGCTAAATTGTATTTGGAAGTCTTGAAAAAAAAAAGAAAATGACATTTCTTAGGAACTTTTTCTAATTGAGGTAAAAGAATAAGACTGAAAGTTTATTTTGAGTGATTAGTCACATTTGGGTGTGTGGGGAAATGACTTAAAACTCTAATTATGCTTATCCCAATTTTTAAAGAAAAATTGCTTGCACTTCTCTGGACCTTAAGCTACCCAAGCCAGCCCAGAAGGGTACTTGGTAAAACATGACCATGTAAATGTGAATGTAACTTTATAAAGTAAAGAATGTAGACTGACTGTTTTATCAGTGGCCTTCTTTATGTGCTAACATAGTAGTAACTGATGACCAAGTAGAATAGATTTACTTGTGGCTCTTTAGGTGCTAACTTTGTAATGTCACTTTCTAGACCAGAGATGCCTGGGACTGTTGAAGTTGAGTCTACCTTCTTGGCACGATTAAACTTCATCTGGAAAGGTTTTATCAACATGCCATCTGTGGCAAAATTTGTCACCAAAGCCTACCCAGTATCGGGCTCTCCTGAGTACTTGACAGAGGTACTGTGAGCTTTTTTGCCCTCCATGTCTGGGGTGGCAAGGGACATAGAGTTAATAATAAAAACATTTACTAATAATGGTCCTTAGCTCAGTTAGTGGAATTATGAATTCATAAGTGGTTTCCAGAATTGCAGAAAACTGTAGTCTGAAAAAGTTTTAGACTACATTTTCTTCTCTTTCCACTGTCAGAGAATTATAATCAGCAGGTATGTCTGCATAGATATCCAAGCGTGTTTTTAAATATAGACTTACATAAAAGATGGACATACTTTTAGTTTTCAGTGTTAGCCCATCAGGAAGACTTTAATTGTTAAGCATTCTTCTAGTCCCCATGGCTTGTGTTTTAGGACTGGTTCTTATCTGCCTCTCCTGTGAATGTGGTGCAGACTGGAGTTAAAGTTGATAGCTAGCTGGCCGTCGAGTAACCAAAATTGTTACAGTGATCTTGGTTGATTTTATGCCTGAGGAAATAGGAAGAAGCTGTTTATGTACTGTTCATAAGAAATAAGAAGCTGTAGGAATGTTCGTAATTGATTTTATATATGGTTATATAAATTTGTATGAATTTAATTGATGTATTTGTATGAAGTATGAATATTATAATAAAGATAGTCTGAATGTATTGGATCACTTTCATTTTTTTACCATAGGATCTACCAGACAGTATTCAAGTAGGTGGCAGGATATCGCCTCAGACAGTTTGGGATTATGTGGAAAAAATAAAAGCCTCAGGAACCAAGGTGAGGAAAAATTCTTACCCAATACTGCATGGGAAACTGTTTATAGAATGAAACTACTCAGAGTTCTTATGCAAGGATGCAAGGCCTCCCAGGGAAGGGAGCCATTACCCATTTTTAATGTGCCTAACACACCTTGCAAAGTGGAGATAAAGCCATTGATAAAAATAGCCCAGTGTTCACTTTTATTTTCTGCGTTCTGGTATTATTCCTCTGTGGCTTCTGTCCATTTTGGAAGAAATTCACCTTGGAGTTAAGCATTGCTTCAGTTATAGACATTTGCTTTTGTTAGGGCATATCTATGCTTTTAGCAACAAACTGTAAAATATAGTGACTCAAACAGTACAGAAGTTTTGTTCAGGGTGGTTAGGTGGCTCTGTTTTTATGGGATCATTTAGGACCTAAGCTGTGGGAGCGGAGTAGGAGAAGCCTATGAGGACATAAGCACATTGTACTCAATATTCTGCAGGCTGAGTTCAACACAGCCCCAGCCACAGAAGACGAAAGAAAGCGAGATGCAACTCAGCTGCTTTTCCTAAGTTGTTTAATGCAGGTTTCTTCTTTTACAATGTCACGCCCCTCCCTGAGAACCATTGCTCCACCTCTTTACCACTGGATATAAAAGATTCACTGAAGGAGGATGGGAGGCTTTTGGATGGGGGAGATTTTGGCTGAAGGGAAATTGCTGGAGGGAGGATTGCTGAAGGGAAAAGAATTGCTGAAGGGGAGTTGCTGAAGAGGGGTTGATAGAATTGGTTGGCAGCTTGTGAGGGGACTGCTGCTGAATGATGCGGCTGCTGTTGTTTGCAAGTCTGAGGACTGAGACTTTAAGAAAGCTAAAGAGAGAACATAGGATAGTGCAAGTCTACGCCAAGAACTTTATACATAGGTTTTAGAAAAGGTAAGCTAAAGAAAAGCTAAAGAGAACATGGGACAGTGCAAGTCTAAGGACCAAGATTTTAATAAGAGTTATGCATATGCAGTTTTTAGATGTGGCTATTGTTGTTTGCAAGTCTGAGCACTGAGGCTTTAAGAAATCTAAAGAGAGAACATGGGATGGTGCAAGTCTGATGGGATAGTGCAAGTCTGAAGGCACTTTTAAGAGAGACTATGCTAAAGAAAAGCTAAGAAAACATGGGACAGTGTGAGTCTAAGGAAAGAGACTTTAAAGAATGGAAAAGAAGACTCTAGAAGCAAGGTTTTAAAGAATTGTAAAGGAGTAAGACCTTAAAGAATAGAGAAGAGAATAATGGAGAAAAGAAGTGAAGTAAAAGAAGAGTTATTAGAGAAAAGAAGCAATGAGAGTATTGTGCATCTCCATCCAAGTGCCCGGCACACCTGATCCCAACTTTCTGCATGTCTGTCTGTCTATCCTTTGTCCTTTCTGCATCTCCTGTTGCCCCCAGTTAGGCCCAGTTCAGTTCAGTAGTAACAGGAGTGAGAGAAAGCTCACCTCTCTAAGCTGCTTCTTTTCTTCGTATTATATTTTTCCCACAGTGTTGTCTTCATCAGACTTGAGCACCAAATGGAATAAATGCCTGTTGAGTTGACCCACAAAATTGCATCATCACTTTATTTCCTTTCACTTAAGTTACAAGAACTTAGTTGTACAGCTATACATAGCTATGAGAGAGCTGGGAAATCTATATTGGGTGGCCAGGTGTCTGCTAGAAGTTAGGGCCTCATTAGTAAGAGGAGGAAATAAGGAGGTAGATACTAGCAGGTCATGAGTGACCTTTGTCACAGTAATATTTCTCTTCCTCCCTTTTCTCTGTATTTCTATTATTTTTAAACTCGTAGAACTACACAGGAGTAGCTCTAGAAGTTTCTCAGTTTTCTTTGGAGTGATCCAAAATGGAAAACATTATTTTTTTCCTCTCATATAAATTCTAGGATTTACATCGATACCATATTAGAATACAAGTAAACATTGAGGCAATATAAAAAGTTACTTATTTTCTGTCACTTTCTCCTGGTAATAAAGCAGGAAGTATTATTTTTGAACACTGGTAATCACTGTGAAATCTACCCATATATATTACTACCTAACACTTTACAGTGTGCCAGCAGTAGGACAGTTTTAATCTATACAGGTCGAGTATCCCTTTCCACAACACTTGGGACTAGAAGTATTTTAGAGTTTGGATTTTTTGAGTGTTCAAATATTTGCATAAACAAAATGATATATCTTGAGAGTAGGAACAAAGTCTAAACATGAAATTCATTTATGCTTTAGACATCCAGCCTGAAGGTTATTCTATACAGTGTTTTCAGGATGCTTTTATTTTGACTGCAACCTGTTACATGTAGTTAGGTGTTGAATTTTCCACATGTCATTCATAATTTCAAATTTTGGAATATTTCAGGTTTTGAATTTTCAGATTAGGGGTGCAGCCTGAATGTGTACAATGATTTTTTTTGGGGGGGGGAACTAAAATTAAGCAGATTAGATAGGGATCAACCTTCCACAAGAGGTAGAGTCCCAATTCAGCTCATTCACAGGTTGTGTCATTTTTAGGCTCTGTAAAAATTTGACCTCCCCATCTTGACTGTACACAGTACCTGAGTTAGCCAAATGGCTATAAAATGTGTGATCCGTGTATTTGAAATCTTTTCATCCATCCACTTATTCTAAATCCATTCACTATAAAGCACATTATCAGGTTTGTGTGTCTGTGTGCATATATTAGTCCTCTCTTACTCATAGTTACACTGACCTACAGTCAACTGCAATATGAAAACATTAAATGGAAAATTCCAGAGATAATTCCTAAGTTCGTTCTTGTGTGTTGTCTGAGAAGCATGATGACTCCATCCTATTCTGACTCTATCCTATTCTGTCCACCAGAGTGTGAGTCATCCCTTTTGTCCAGTGTATCCAGTTCATATGCTGTGTATACCACCCGCCTATTAGTCGTTCTGTAGCCATCTTGGTTTTCAGGTTGGGCTGACATGGTATGTCACTGATTGTCACATAACCCTCAGTTTATTCATAGGTATGTACATACAGAAAAACGTACATATATATATATATATATATATATATATTTGCAGTTTCAAAGATCCATGGAACATACTCCTCACAGAGAAGGGGGACTACTCTGTAAGTTCATAGTGGGGTGGTGGTGTTGGGTACTATTAGTTTAGTTCACAGTGTGACAAGAATCTAGGTAGATTTCCAGCTGGTGTAGCATTGGAAACCAGGATGTAAAAAATTTTGGGTTTCAGTATCATCTCTGCCTCTGAAAATTTGTATCATCTTGAACAAATTCATTAGTCATGTTGGAAAGCCTTTTGATAAACCCATCAATGGATCAGCAGAGCTCTTTCTAGGAGTTGTTTGCTTTTAATACTCTGTTCTATATTTCAGTTGTATTACCAAATGTTGACAATCATAGAATTCAATAGATTACTACTAATTGAGAAATATTATTTTTAAACAACTATTTGTCATTTTCTTGAATAGGAAATTTGTGTGGTTCGCTTCACACCAGTGACTGAAGAAGATCAAATTTCTTACACTTTGCTGTTTGCATACTTCAGCAGCAGAAAGCGCTATGGAGTAGCTGCTAACAACATGAAGCAGGTTAAAGATATGTACCTTATTCCTTTGGGTGCTGCAGATAAAATTCCACACCCTCTTGTGCCTTTTGATGGACCTGGTAGGTATACATTTTAGTAATGGAATAAGACTGAAGTAAAGTGGATGGTGGGACCAGAGTGAAAAGAATAGCTGTTTTCTTTCTTAGGATCCCAGCCCCTAGAGATGGCTCAACAGGGCTAGGCACCCAGTTAGTAGCTTGTAATAAACTAGATGCAGAATTTTACCCTTTTAAGTAATGATTGGAAATGACTGTTGATGTTTTTATTTTATACAGGGCTTGAACTGCACAGACCTAATCTTTTATTGGGCTTAATCATTCGTCAGAAGTTGAAGCGGCAGCATGGTGCTAGTGCTGTCACAAGTCATGCAGCTGAGGCTTCTGAAAGTGTACCGATAGCCTTGCCACCTGACAAAAAAAGCAAAGTAGAATCCTCTACAGATGAAGCACCAGAGGAAGAAAATGATTTTTTTAATTCCTTTACAACTGTATTACACAAGCAGAGAAATAAGTCCCAGCAGCCTCTTCAGGAAGACCTTCCAACAGCAATTGAACCTTTAATGGAAGTCACTAAACAAGAGCCACCAAAACCTTTAAGATTCCTTCCTGGGGTTTTAATTGGCTGGGAAAATCAGCCATCTACTCTGGAATTAGCAAATAAACCTCTTCCTGTGGATGATATACTTCAAAGCCTTTTGGGCACCACTGGTCAAGTGTATGAGCAGGCTCAGCCAATGATAGAACAAAACATTCTTAAAGAGATTCCATTTATAAGTGAGCAAACCAACCCCAAAGCAGAGACGATAGATAAGGTGGAAGTAACTGATGGTGAAGCCCAGGAGGTGAAAGTTAAAGCAGATAATCTTTCAGAATCTACGGGTAACTCAGCAGTAGAAGAAACTCCATTAGTGGGATCATCTTCTACCTCTCCAGGTCCTTTGACAAGTCTTAGTCTCAGAGGTAAGCCACCAGATGTTTCAACAGAAGCATTCTTAACAAATTTATCAATTCAGTCAAAACAAGAGGAAACTGGAGAGAATAAAGAGAAAACATTAAAAAGACAGCTGCTGCAAGATCAAGAGAGTAATGTGCAAGATAATCGGACATCAGGCAATTCTCCATGCAGGCCTAATGTAGGAAGAGGAAACATAGACAGCAACATGAATTGTAATGAAAATCTTGTGAATACAACAAGATCCCCACAGTTTATCAACCTGAAAAGGGATCCAAGGCAAGCAGCAGGACGAAGTCAGCAGATAACTGCTTCAGAAAGCAAAGATGGAGATAGTTGTCGGAATGGAGAGAAACAGAGCCTGCCTGGTCTATCACATAACTTACCAGAGCACTTACCAGAGCAAATCAATGCAGAGGAAAACTTGTCTTCTGTAGAGAAAAATTCATGTATTCAGCAGAATGATAATTCAAAGGTTGCACAGAACTCATCATCAGTAGAAAACTTAAATTCTTCTTGTCAAACAGAACAAGCAAAACCTTTACAGGAAGATATTTTAACGCAAAATATTGAAACTGTGCACCCATTTAGAAGAGGAGTGGCTGCAACAACATCCCATTTTGAGGTTGGAAATACATGCCAATCAGAATTTCCTTCTAAAAGCATCAATTTTACCTCTAGAAGCACCAGCCCCAGAGCAAGTGCAAACTTTCCACCTCTGCGGCCACAGCAGCCCAGCCTTCAGCACCTCAAGTCAAACCCTCCTGGGTTTCCATTTCCAGGGCCTCCTAATTTTCCTCCACAAAGCATGTTTGGATTTCCACCACATTTGCCACCTCCATTACTTCCCCCTCCAGGGTTTGGCTTTGCCCAGAATCCTATGGTTCCCTGGCCACCTGTTGTTCATCTCCCAGGCCAACCACAGCGTATGATGGGTCCACTTTCACAAGCATCAAGGTTTATAGGCCCACAAAATTTTTACCAAGTTAAAGACATTCGGAGACCAGAAAGGCGCCATAGTGACCCTTGGGGTAGGCAAGACCAACAACAACTGGACAGGCCTTTTAATAGGGGTAAGGGGGACCGCCAGAGATTTTACAGTGATTCACAGCATGTGAGGAGAGAGCGACACGAAAAGGAATGGGAGCAAGAATCAGAAAGGCACAGACGCAGAGACAGAAGCCAAGACAAAGACAGAGACAGGAAAGGCAGGGAGGAAGGGCACAAAGATAAAGAAAGGGCACGGTTATCACACAGTGACAGAGGTGCAGACGGCAAGGCCAGTAGAGACAGTAGGAGTGCAGACAAGAAGACAGACAAAGCCAAAAGTGAAGAGCATGAGAAAGACAAAGAACGTGAGAAGAGTAAACACCGAGAAGGAGAGAAGGACAGGGACAGGTACCACAAAGACAGGGACCACACTGACAGAGCCAAGAGCAAAAGGTGAAATGTGCAGGCTGCCTCCAGAGTCCATTGAAGTAACCACTGAATGCTGTATCTTTGTCAGATTGCCTGCTAGGATCGTGCCGTCTTTTAAATTTTACGGTTGGTGGTTTGCAGAACAATGAATTCTGTGTTGGTGCAGAGTGTTCTGTGCCTGTGTTCACCATCCCTTCATACCAACTTCCCTAGTTATAGGAATTTCATATTTTTTAAAGTTTTACATTGCTGTATATTCTAAGATTTGTTTTATTAATATGCAATAAAGGCTTAGAAATTTTAGTTTTATTCCTTAATTGGCAAATATGGTTAACTATGGAATATATTTACTGCCTCTGGTGAATGTCCTTTATATAATGACTGATTTGAGAGTAATGTGTGCTCTGTATATTTGTTTTAAACTGCTCTGTTTTTAAAGAGACAATAGGGGAACAACTTCATAATCACATCACACTAATCGTTTAGTTGAGCAATTTTTGACTGGGACTCAGAAGCCCAAGGAGTACATTTATTGCTTCAATCTGCACTCACTGAAGGCATTTATTATGTATTCTACAGCTTCGTGATAGGCCATTAATTTTCCTTTTCCTTTTTTGCTCTTCAGAAACTTGAATACTTAAGCTTGTACATGATCTTGTGTTTTGCTATCCTTTTTACTGTAAAATGTAAATATTTTAAGGGATATTTTGATTCTGAATATGATAAAAGAATTTCTCATCTATTTTGTGTGTGTGATTTGAAATTCAGTAGTAAAAGAATTTCTTTAAAGCTTTAATTACCTTTAGACATTATTATTCTCTTTCTCAGCTAAGAACACACAGCGTAGCTATCTATAAGCATTTGATTGAGGTGGGGAACAATTGCTTTTAAATCTTAGACTGTAGGGTGAGGTAAATCGTGCAGTTCTGAAGAGGGTAGAATTTAGAATTACCAGTGAACAACTGTGCAGGAATAATTCATTTAACTGGTATGTTTCTGAAAATGTGTACCATCACATTTTGTTATACTGGTACACTGGTCATTCTAAGGTCACAGAACTTTTATTTAAGTGAAATATGTATTGAATCTTTTGTAAGATGTGTAGTTAACCTTGATTTGTTTGTAGGACAACTGTAAAGTTTAATATACCAGTTTGATCTAAAATAGAAAGCACATGGAGGTGTTGTTAATCTAAATCTAAATTTACTCACACCCTAAAATACAAACTGTATTGATGCCTACATTTTAAAGTAATAGCTACAAAATGATGCTAAGACTTGAGACCAAAAAAAAAAAAAGAAAGAAAAAGAAACAAGAAGAACAAGATCAGTATTTTACCTATCTGTGTCAATGAAGAAAAATATAACTCCACAAAATCAACAAGATTGTTTTCCTACAGGGTCTAAAGAGTAGAGTTAAAAATAGGTTTTGAAACTGAATTAGCCTTGCTATTTTCACTGGAGAAAATGGTAGAACCAAACATTTTTGTCTAATTTGCAATGATTGAACACTTTTTCCTTATCCTCTGAAATTCTATCATCATGAAAATTCTAAAATGGAGGATTTCTATTTAAATAAAGTCTGTTTAATTTCAGTCTACTTTTCTTTTGGATATTAACTTGTTAGGAAAAAAGTCTCCAAGCAAAACAAAACCTAAGGATAGTCATTTTTTGCATGATTGTGAAGAAATTGCTGTCAGGGTTTTATAAATTAAAAAAAACAGCTTTTTTCTGAGGTACAAGTAAAAAAATGAATTATTGACTGCACAAGACTTTAAGTCAATTTTTGATCATCTGTTTGCTAATACTTTCTGTACAAATTGTGGTGTTTACTCAAATTTGATAACTCATTGAGTCTCAACACCATTTTATAAAATAGACGAGACTTAACTATACTATCTCTGTGGATTACAAGGATACTAAATGTGAGAACCCGGGTTTTTAAATATTTGTGGTCCTGAGGATGGAAATTGAACCCAGGGTCTGCTGCTGAGCTACACCTCCAGCCCAGCACTAGTTCATTAGCCTCTGGTTGAATACAGTATTATAGAGAACAGAGTCATGTTAACTATTTCAGATTTTCATTGTAAGAAAAGAAGGGGGGAAATGGGAGATTTTTGAGTAGTCCATCTAAGTCCCACCTACACCCAGTCTTACACAAACAAGTAATGTGTATAAATTTAATCTTTCAGTTTCTCCTGTATTAAGGAAAACTTGTTCTTTAAAAAAGGTTTGACATTTAAAAAAATGTAGAGCCATTTTTGGACATTGTGCACCTACTTCTGTTAAGTGAAGTGCTAGGATGTCTCAGCACTGTGAAGGTCAGCACTTGGAGTCTTGGTGGCAACAATACCTCTGTGGGCTGGGCCTTGTGTTGGGCACTTTGTATATCTTGGCCCAAAAAGGTGAAGATTTAGCTCATAGCAATGGGAACTGGATGAGAGTTGCCCAAGATTAGACTGATGTGGTCCAAGTTGGATCCCAGCTAATTTCTGCTTTTCTCCAAAGTCGCATATGGTTGGCATGACATCTTTTCAGGGTCTGTTATTCCACTTTGACTTAGATGTTGAAGAACTAATGTTAGGTTTTTGGAATCATAGAATATCTAAGGCCATAGTAAATAAGAAAATGGAGTGCTTTTAAGTGTGTTTATACTTGCGTGTAACATAAAACTAGCTGTGTTGACATAAAAGTATTAACAGGTAAGTACACTCAGTTGTTAATAAGTACATGAGTCAAGTTTAAGTGCATTGTGAGAGTGATAATGAACTAGAGCTTAGAAAAATATTTCACTTAATTTTGATATTTAGACACTAGTTATACTGTTCAAATCTCAGATACCTCTAAAACAGTAAAGTTACCAGTTGGTAATGATTAACAAAGAACAGTAAATGAGAAACATTTGATTTGTTTCCCAAAATAAATTGCAAGTGAAATTGGTACTGCTTTCAAAAAGGTGCCCAAGACCCTGATTCTTTCATTCATGTTTCATAAAGAATTTTAGTAATTCACATACAGGGCAAGAATGTAGTAGGGTGAGTTGAAAACATGATGTCAATAGCTAGAAGTTTCTTAAAAACTTCAGTCTACTCTTAAGTTTCATCTCAACAGGTTTGGAACAGTCTGGGGAAACCCAGCATATATAATTAAAGGACAGTAAGGCTCTAAGAATCTCCCAAATATTTTACTTTTCCTATGAAATGATTTTGTGCATTTGTGTGTGAATCCAAGCTGTCTTTTAAAAATATTCCTTAAGAAAATATTTTTTCCACAGTCAGGGCTTTTTTTTTTTTCCCTCCAGTAACCTTTTAAATAGTAAACATTTCCATCGCCTGGCTTAGGTATTTCATCTTAACTTTTGAAAGTATTCTCATGTTTGTATATGTTTATATTCAACATTTTACTTTAGAACATTTGTAGTAAAATTATCTTAAAGGTCTTTTGCATCAAATAATTTTTATTCTGTGCTGTAAAACCACATCACCATCAGTATGGTAGCAAAACTGGGTATAATATTGAGTATTTACCACATGAAGTTTGCAGAGTTATAAATGGGATTCAGCCTGTAGAGTTTGCCATAGAGTGTAGAAGATGAGTGATGATGGTTGGATATAAAATTGCAGCTGTAAGAAGCTTTAAAGCAGCAATTCTGAAACCTTTCAGTTTCTCATCCCTTATACTACTGAAAATTTTTGGGAACACAAAAGCTTTTGTTTATGTAGGGTTTGTCTCTTTAACATAAAAATTAAAGTGATAAACTTCAGCATATTTTAAAGATAATCCCATTGTGTTAATATGACATGGTAGAAACTAAATAAGAATGTCATTCTCATTTTTGAATATTTGTGTTAAGACAGCTGGAGTCTCTTAATCTCTTACACATTCCATGTTTTGCAGTTTGTCATTCTGTTTGAAAAATGTGAAGAAAATCTGACTTCCCACAGGTTTGTTGGGAAGGAAGATGGGGGCTCCCCTGGAAGGACACGGTGAACCTCACTGGGGGATGTACTGCTCTAATGCAGTGGGGGAGCAGTTCAGACAGTTTCCTCCTAGCTTTCTTAACCTTCCATAAAGTGTGTATTTATAGTTAGGTCTCAAAGGGCATTTTTGTTGTCCCCTTCATCCCCGGTGCTAATGATTAAGCCCAGGGCCTCGTACTTGTTAGGCAAGTGTTTTATTTTACCACTGAACTAAATCCCCAAACCCCAAAAGGGTTTTCTTGAGAGCATTTATACTTATCTCAGAATCTCCAAAGTTCAGTACAATGGTAGGAAAAAAAGTAAGCTTAGATCTCAGTTTTTCAGCAAATACTGATAGGCTTGTCAAGTGGCTTCTGTTAAAAAAAAGGAAGCTTTTCATCAATGGGTAGACATTCTACCTTACATTTATGTTCTACCCTCATACTCCCTAGGGTTAATAGGAACAGTGTTTCTGGGAATCAGCTTTTGTTCCTAATTCACTTAACTGTAATTCTTGGTTATTTGCTTGCAGTACCTTCTCTAACACAACCTTGAAAACTTACAGTCTGTTGCCATGGAATGAAAGGATAACACTCTTCCAATACAGAAGTCTTACTGTTGTCTAGGGAGCTCACTTTAGCAGAGGCTTTTCCTGTTACATTGTCCCATCCAGATCCAGGGAGCCTTTGGTACAAATCTTCTTCAGTTATATGCCAGGTATTAGCATTAACTCCATAGTTCGGAGAGTTTGTGCAGTGAGAGTTCTGTCACCAACGGTGTGGAAAAGCCAAACAAGCATCTACTGAAGAGACATAAAATCCCCTGTAAAGAAAGAAAGTTAATAACCACTCCATTAAGAACTTTGGCAAAAAAAAGTAACATCTTGAGCACAGCCATGTTAAGAGAATTTTATTTCCGCTTAGCGATCAGAACATCCATGTACATACTCACACACGTAGCCTGTATTTCATTTTGTTCAGAATTGGCCTCATACATTCTTAACTGGTTGTAGGTAGTTACTGCTGAATAAATATTCTAAATTTAAGTGATACTTTTCCTAAATGGTTTAGTTAAGGTTGAATGTGTAAAAACAACTTGAATGCTTTACTCCAGATCACTGTTCTGAGACCTGTTGTCACTAGCCATTGCTGGCTTAGGACTTGTGGTCCTTCTGCCTGCACCTTCTGAGTTGGAATTACAGGTACACTCAGACTGACTACTGTTTCTGCTTTTCACAGAATTTTTAGTGAATATAATCCACCATGTCATCACATGCGCTTGAGTAATAGACACTACATCCACTGTTTGAGGGCCTTAGAAGAACAGGATCTGTCTGGTTTGGCCCAACAGGTTATTCCCAACACCTAATACAGGGGCTGGTCTCTAAGTAGATATGCTCAGTAGATAAAGGTTGAATAGGGAAGTATTGTAGGGTTGCACAGTGAAATGATTCAGAATACTTCATTTTAATTACAGCTTGAAAATACAACATGAAAATTGTTTTTGTAAAATTCCCTAACAAAGAAACTCAGTTTATTTGCATATTAATGTCTAACATGAATAGCATGTTAATTGTAAGGAAACAGAAAAGTAGCATTAGCTGGGCCCCTGTGGCTCATGCCTGTAATCCTAACTACTTGCGCTGCTGAAATCAGGAATATTGAAGTTCGAGGCCAGCCAGGCTAATAGTTCTCAAGACCTCATTTCCAAGGTAACCAGAGCAAAATTGACTGGAGGTGTGTCTCAAGCAGCAAGAGCACTTGCTTTGCACACACCAAGCCCTG